GAGGGAGGCCTTGGCCTCTAAGCTCCGTTTGTTGGCCCTCCAAGGCAATTGGTTGGGCACTGTGTGAAACAGAATGGTGGACTAGATGGACCACTGGTCTGATCTAGCAGGGCTCTTTTCAATTCTTATGACTGGGTTGGATCCAACCAGTTTTTCTGCAGGTGAAAAAGGAAAGAGAGGTATCCTTTGGCCAACCCAAAAGGCTATGCTCGGGATCACGGGACCTGCATTGGGAAAAGCCATGTGGAATGGGGCTATTGGATGAGACCAAGTGAAAAAGCTGGAGGGATCCAACCCCTTGTTCTCCCTTATGAGAAGACTAGAGATGACAAAGAGAAAGAGGCAGATGTATGGGACATGATTATAGATTCCCCCCCACACACTCATAAAATGCATTATATTCATAAAACGGGTCTGTATTTGAAAGAGAGCTAGTATAGTTAAAGTGTCAGACTAGGAGCTGGGACACCCAGGTGTGAATCATCACTTTCCAATGAAAGCTTGCTGGGTAACCTCAGGCCAGTCACGCATGCTCAGCGTAACCTACCTTACAGGGTTGTTGCATGGATAAAAGGGAGGAAAGGAGAACCATGTAAGCTGTTTTGGGTCCCCATGGGAAGAAAGGCAGAAAGAAATCTGAGACGACAAAACCTGGTCTGTTGTCTTTCAACGATGCAGCTAAAAAAAGTTGATTCAGCTTCATAAAATGTACATCCGTGTTTTTTATTTGGCATGAATGTTCCATGCTTTATTTTGGAAACTGCTTTTGATAGCTGCAAGAATTTGGGGAAGTGCGGGTTAACAGTATGTGGCAGGAGGGGGAACTATACTCTGAAGGGGAAGAATGGGGTTACGTCAACCAGAAGATGCTGAGGCAAGTGACAGGTTGTGACACCAGAACTCAGACCCTTGAATGTTGGGACCTTACGACGGTCCTAGGCAGCAGCAGGTACACTTCGTAGCAGTGGGAATCAAGATCCGTGTCCCAAACAGTAAATTTCAACATGGGGATATGCTGGAATGTACTGTCCTATGCTGGATCAGACCACTGACTCTATCCTGACGAGCTCTGGTTTTCCAGGTCTCAGGCGGGGCGGGGGGGGGGGGGGGGGTCTTTCCCAGCACTGGAGATCCTTGGGAAGGAAGCGCCGTCTGCATGAGATGCTCTACCACAGATTTATTTAGGTCATATAGAACCCTGATTTTTTCCCCCTGGGTAGGGACCAGTGTTCCCTCTAAGCTGAGTTAGTGTGAGCTAGGTCACCGTTTTTTTAGCCTCTGGCTCACACATTTTTGTCTTAGCTCAGGAAGGATGGCTCCAGAGCAAACTAACTTATGCAGTAGCCAAATTGTTCACTCACAACTTGAATGCCGGTAGCTCACAAAGTTGAATTTTCACTCACAAGACTCCACAGCTTAGAGGGAGCATTGGTAGGGACCCTATGTGGTTTACAACTGTACTAAATTTAAATACACCGCAATTTAAACAAACAAAATACAACTGATCAACAAAAAAAGACTAACTGTGACCACTGAACAATGATTACTGCCCATAGGAGTTTAGTGAGCAAGGGAAATTCTGAGCCACGGCTTAAAGGAAAAGAGGGGGGAAAGGTGCAGTTTTGCTGACACATGCTTCATATTGAGACACTGTTTTAATGACGTAGATCTCCAAGGATGGAAATTCGGGGAGTGAAATTTTCAGTCTTCTCTGTTTGTTCCCCACCCCCTGAGCCTTCCCCTGTATAAAGGCCCCAGCTGAGAGATTTCTGTTGGAAATAGAAATTAGCTGTTTTGCTTTGTGGCGTGCAGTTTTAAGAATGAATAATAAGGAAAAGTTTAAGAGAGACTGTTCATCTTGCTGTGACATTCCCCTGTAAAAAAATAAATCAGATTGAACAAAAAAGTTATTTTCCAGACAATATATAATTCATTTTCAGGCTTGACAACAGTTATTGGCTTAAATAACTTTAAAAAAAAAAAGAATTAGATACAAGCAGTTGATGGTCCAAGCAATGGCTATTATCCAGGACAGTGAAAAACTGAACCTTTATATTCAGTGGCAGTGTACCTCTGGTTATACCAGATGCTGGGGACAGTCAAAAAAAGTTGCTGCACACCCTGCTTGTAAGTTGGAAATAGTATGGATTCGGGGCCTTATCCAGCAGTGCCCCCAACATGGATCATGCAAACTCCCCTTAGGATTTGTCGTTCACCCTTTGCATGTATACATTTCTTCTAAAGGAGATGTCCCTTTTGCTGGAAAGATTCCAGAATACAGTGTCTTTCCCCCGACTGCTTTTCCTGTCAGCTTTCCTCTAATGGCTTTTGCATAAAACTGTTGGTACAGAATATCGCCAGCCATTTAATGTGATGGAACTCAAATGAAGCGTTAAAGTGGAAGGGCCCCATTTAATGGTGTTATATAGTTTCTTGGCAGCCAGTTCCCAGCGACTGAATCTCCTTGCCCTCCCTCTCACCCACCCCCTCGTTTGGCAACGTGTTTAATGAAGTGAACCTGAAAAACCCAGAAGCTGCAATGAGCTCTTCCAAGTGAATGGAGGGATGTTTAATTGAGACAAAGCAAAGAAGTCGCCAGGCCCGACTGTTCAAAGAACCAGGAGGCCGAATCCATTTCTTGGGTCCACCCCTGACGTAGACAACATGCCTGTCATGATAACCACGTCCCCCTGAAAGACAGAAAGGACTTGGTTTTAGAACAGCCGTGTGTCACTGAAAAGCAGTTGCATTCTTCCATGCAACAAAAGACTTTCAGTACCATTTTAAGTGGCAGAAATCTGTCCTTCCTTACCCCTTTGGGAGAAAATGGTGTGGTAACTGGCTACCAAACTGAAGGAACTTATCCATTATCCCCAGGACAATAGGAAGGCAGCCTGCTACGATCCGGGAACCTCAGATTTGATCTGGACATGCTGCAGAATGAGATGGCAGAGAACTGTGGCTGAGCTGCGATGGTAAATAATAGGGGGGAAATCACTGTGAATAATGGCTGCTGAACTTACACTGAATACAGTTGAATGCATATGTTGAATATTAACACCATTATTAACAGCCTGAGCTCCGCTGATATAATCCAGACTACGATGTTAGCTGACTGCATGCCTATGTTGGATGCTGCCGATACTCGCCTTTGCTATATGAACCGCACTATCACTTTATGTTATGTTTTCAGAGCTATATTGTTGTGATTTTATTCAATTCTTCTGTTTTAGTTGTTCAATACATTCTGCATAAGCCGCCATGAGCCTGCCCTGGCAGGGAGGGTTAGGGTATAAATTAAATAAAATAAATGAATAATAAATTGACTAGACCCAGCACAAATCACATACCGTAGACCTCCGTTAAAAACAAATCATTTTTATAAGCAACAATTACAAATTTAAACTCCTAAATAACAAGTCAATAACCACAACACTGACAAAGTTTCAACTTATAATAAACATAGGAGAATTCCAACTGGTGGCCACATCTTACAACTAATGTTCCCTCTAAGCTGTGGAGTCTTGTGAGCAAGAATTCTTCTTTGTGAGCTACTGGCATTAAAGTTGTGAGCGAGCAATTTGACTACTGCAAAAATTAGTCTGCTCTGGAGCCCTCCTTCCTGAGCTAGGACAAAAATGTGTGAGCCGGAGGTTAAAAACCTATGAGCTAGCTCACACTAACTCAGCTTAGAGGGAACACTGCTTACAACAGACATGAACAAAGTGTCAGCTTGCTCCGACTTGTGACGAACTCTTGCAGCAAACATAAGCATCAACTTGATGAGCACCTAGTTTTCCTCAGAGGAGGACCAACTCCAAAGGTATTTTCATTACAGTTTCTTGCATGGAGTCGTCTGAAACCATTGTTCAAATTTCAAAGTTTATATATAGCAGTGATGGCGAACCTTTTAGAGACCGAGTGCCCAAACTGCGACCCAAAACACACTTATTTATCGCAAAGTGCCAACATGGCAATTTAACCTGAATACTGAGGTTCTACTTTAGAAAAAACAACTCATACATTAACTTAAGATGATCTAAACAAAGTAAGGAAAGCAATCCCAAATGCTTTCATTTACTTAAAATTATTTGGCAGAGAATTCGACACTTTAATGATGGTCTGGGCCTGGCTGGGGTGATGGCACGCGTGCCCACAGAGAGGGCTCTGAGTGCCACCTCTGGCACCCGTGCCATACGCTCGCCACCACTGATATATAGCATAATCCAGTCACCAAATGATATTTATGAGGAACAAGAGCCTTCCAGCTTTAACATCGTTGGCAAAAACTTCTCTAAGCAATTGGTTATCTCAGTCATAATGAGTTGAAACCTAGGTGCTGGTCAAGTTGATGCTTATGTTTGTTGTAACATTTTGCCACAAGTCAGAATTTCTCCTCTTTTGAAACTTTGTCAGTGTGGTTGTAATTGACTTGTAATTTAGGAGTTTAAATTTGTAATTGTTGCTTATAAAAATGATTTGTTGTTTTTAACAGAAGTCTATGGCATGTGATTTGTGCTGCGTCTATTCAACATATGCATTCAACTGTATTCAATGTAAGTTAAGCAGCCATTATTCACAGCGATTTTTTCCCTATTATTTACTGTTTTACACTGTGAGCCTGTGTTGTTTTTTTGAACGGCTATGGTGGCACAGAATGGTCACAAACATTCAAACTGCTGAGGGAAAGGGGCCATTCACAGGCAAACCATAACCATTGTCATAAGGTAATTTTGATTCAAAGAAAGAAAAGGTGATGACCTGTGCTAAAGAAAAACATAAAGTACCCACCTTCTTATCTTATCTGCCTTATTGATCTGCAACTGTTCTGGTTTTTTGCTGCCATGGTTCTTCAACCATTTCCAAGTTGCTCATTTGTTA